GACGATCAAGTCAATATAGGTCGGATTCCCAGTTTAGTTCGAGGTCAGAAATCATCGTACCTGATCGTGGAGTGAAGTCCTCTACTTATGGGTGGTAGTCCCGCTAATCTCGCGACGGTTACACCCGGTAATCTCGGGACCGACGGTTACACCAGATAATCACGCCGCTGACAGTAGTTCACATCGGCCCCCACCGAGCTTCCCGGTAGGTTGGACCTCGGCCAGGTTCACCTCGGCCCTCATACTTAGCATCTGTCAACGCTAGCGGTGGTGATCTCGGGCGTCCGAGCTGGGCATGACTCATGAGTCATCTTGGAGCACCAATAGGGGTCCTCCACGTGTCCAGGGTATTCTCTCCCCAAACAGAACTCAAAATAGAAGAAAATAATAGGTCGTTCTCAAGCATGTTGTTTTAAGTATTTCGTTTTAGATTATAGAAAAATATAACTAGTTGTGATAAATTATGGAATTGTAATTTTCTCTAACATATTCTTGTTCTTTAATCTTTAATTTGATAACTTTAGTTTCTGTCATTATTTAGTCACTTAAAATCTTTCTTACAAACTCGACTCAACCAACCAATGAGAGGAGTTTTTTTAAATTTCAAAGATTAATATTAGACATTTTAAATGTGAAGAAACTTAAATAAAATAAATAAGAAAGCCTAGAAATTAAAATAAAAACTAAAATTAAATAAATTTTTTGTTTAAGAAAAAAAGCAATTTAAACCAATTTAAAGCGTTTATAGATTCTGTCTGCAGAGAATCCAAAAAAAAAATGGGTTGCAGTAATCCCGTGAACAGCACAGATAACATCATAATGTACCCATGGTCCCTGATGACGTGACACGTGGCTACCAGATGATCGGAGTATCTCCCAAATCCCAGCTGTTTTGCGATGACGTGTACCAATTCCAGCAACCGGCACCGGTACGGTCTGGAATAAAGCGGCAGAGGCCAGTGTGGGACCCAACCCAAAGGGCTGTGAGCTGGAACTTTGACGTGGACGCGAAAGGGACGGTTGGAAACGAATGACACTTTTGCCTAAGATATTTTCCTTTTTATATCCTCAAATTGCATATCACCGTCACTCCTTAATCCTCTCATTATTTTTCGCGTATATTTTTAAACCCACGACTTCCTAATCAAATATAAATGTCTTAATTTTATTGAGTTAAATTCAAATTGATATTTACATTGTAGTTGATGATGAAACAAAATTTATTGTTTCACTAAATTCTACATATTAGATATTTTTTCGTTTGTCTCTCGGTCACATCCAAAGTTACATAGAGGGTAAAAAAAACTAATAATATTTTTCAAGGATAAATAAACTACCACTCAACTCGAAAGCTTAAATTTAAGCTGATGGGTTGGGTAAATTTAATTCATTTATGAGTATCTCAATACTCCTCTCACTTGTGCGCTTGGAAACTCCCATGCAGATGTTCGAACACAAGACTCCTACTCTGATACCATCTTAATGATAAATAAGCTACCACTCAACCCAAAAGCTTAAGCTGATGGATTGGGATAAATTTAATTCATTTATGACTATCGATAACTTTTGACCAAACAAGCCATAGAAATGAAAGTTTCCAATTGAAATCAAAATTAGGGGAGTAAAGTGGTTATTTAAAGGAGATTGAAATATAAATAGTTGAACAATGAGGATGCTTGCTTATCCACTATAGTGATAGTATCGCTGGGGCTGCAAAAAAAAAGGTGATTGATTTTATTTAGGGGATGCATTATATCGTTGGAGAATACAAGTATTGGTTCATAATTATTATTGGAGTGGTATATGAAAGCTTCATCTAACAAATTGTTAGGAGAGTTGAGCATCTTGTATGTATTTAATTATCACGTCTTATTGGATATATTTTTTTCGTATCTAGAATATATTTGTATGCAACTCGACTAATCTTATAAGACTACTATTTCATCTTAAAATATACTTTTTTGAAAGCTACTTTTATACTTTTCCCAAATTTGTTTAAAGTTAATACGACATGTATTGCCTCACTGAAGTATTTTGTTTGCACCTTTAAGAGTTAACTTGAATGTTATATGGGAAAGTTAGAAAATGTAGATGCTAGAAAGTTTACGGTCAACTTTTGGCAACCTAAAGGCCAAAAGGATTACGAAAATGCCATAAACTTGCATTGTTTAAATGTCAGCCAACAATTAAATTAAGAGGCTAATACTAAAAAGAAGGCTGCCCTAGCTTTTTAGGGAGAATTTAGAATAATAGGCTTAAATAGGCGACAATAATGTGGCCTCTTAGGAGAGAGATTCTTAAATTGGCCAAAATCAATTCTAAGGTCATCATCTTTTATTTATTGAACTCCTAACTTAGATAGAAATTCAATTCAATTGAAAAGTTTAGAATCTATTTAATAACATTTCCATTTCTTTCTTATTTTCAATTTTTGAGATCCATAACTATTTTGTAAATATCGATATTTTTCCTTTTTCATATTTAAGAAATATTTTTAAAATTATGTAAAAATTTTAGAACTAACAAAATCAAATTTCTTACTTCTTTCTATTTCTAATATTTTCCAAAATATAGATACAAGTGTTATTTTATCATTTTAATTTTAAAAATGAATAATAAGTATCCAAAAGTAAATTTAACATAAAAATTTTGAATATTTAATTTGAAACATTAAATTTCATATAAAACTTTTACCTTCTTTAAAATCTAAATTTTAGAGAACAAATGATTATCAATTTTTTTCAAGAACGAGAAACAAGAAAGAACTACTAAATATAGTTCTATTTTTCTAAATTGAAAAAAAAAAGAAATAAGTAACAACGTCACCAAATATTCTTAATTGTTTGAAATTTATAAATTCAATAAAAAAAAGTTTTATTAACAAATTAAAAGTACTTAAACAAATATTTAATTAATGTTTTCCCCCCTTGAGAAAGAAAAAAAAATCACTTGAAAATACCAAGTCAAAGAGTCAAACCAAACTCATCCATTAATCTTTTTTCATGGATGGGTATAGAATCAGCTACTGAGAATATACTTACAAAAGAAATCTGAGTTGCAGAATTTGGGCCACTTGCCAAACTGGTAAAGAATAAATGGGAATTGACTCGATACAATTACAATTACAATTACAACTACAATTACAGTGGGACTATAAATTAAAAGAAGATTATGAATTAACGAATCCTACTATTCTTTTCATATTAAATCACTTTAAAATCAACAAATTTACATGGTGGGATGAGGCCTTCCAGTTCCATCATCTTTTCAAACAAATTCTGGAAAACAACAGCCAAAATCCCAAGATTCAGAAGTGTGGCCACTAGCTGAGAAAACAAGTCGAGTGAACTGCTTCTATTTTTATCAGGATTGTTGAGGATTACAGTGTCGATATCAATAAAAATACCGATCAAATATCGTTATCAACAAACTTGGGCTTCTCTAAAATATTGTAATATTTTAAATACTAGTCCTGAGTTTACAACATGGGGTTGGGTTCCATTACCTGTGAATCTCCAACCAGGCTTTCGCCCTTGAGTCGATGTAGTGACTCACAGAAACAAAAATAAGCTGCACCAGTGGCTGTGGTTGATGCCATGCCGAAAATTTAAAGCAAAAACAAAATATTTGATCAGAATGAAGAGAAGAGAATTCAGGCAAAGAAGCAATGCAATCTAGTTATGAAAGACGAAAAGCCCATATTTTCAAAACATGTAGCCCGCTAAAAATTTGAATGTGGTAATGTTGAACCTCCACTTTCCAGTTTCCAATCCTCGTAGCTACATGACTAAATTAAAAAAATTTTAAAAAAAAGGGAAAAAGAAAAAAGTTTGTTTTACAAAATCCAACACAAGTTTGATTTGCAGATTGTGGCCAGCATTTTTGAACAAAAATGGAAAAATTAAGAAGAGGATACTCACAGCATTAGCGCCAATAAATAATTTCAAATTAAATAGGTAGAGCTTCTTCTCTAAGAACACCGCCCATTTCCATTCTCCATGAATAGTCAACTAAGCCAGCAAACTCTCTGAAAGGAACACAACTATATAAGTGAACAGGAACGCCTTTATCAAATAATTAGAACAGCTTAAACACAAAATGAAAAAAGTGGCAATAATGACCTTTACCAGATGTTGGTAGAAGAAATGAAATGCAGTTGCATTAGATTTAGTGCAATAAACTTGACTCTAACAAATATCAAATTTCAGAATAACTTGCTACCCTTCCAACACATTGAGTGTAACGCTTATTTTATTGCCAAATATGGATGCAACATCATGGTAAATTAATCAGAACGAGATGTATAAAAAGTTTTAAGGTCTTTCACTGTTTTTACTAGATCTGGCACGCTGAGAACTAGTGGTTGTCTAGAATCGAGACGCACCTAAAAGTTCTCACCCAAGTTAAGTGAGGAACAGAAATTTAAAAGAGAAGTATTATTATTCATAGAATACTGAATACGACTCACCAAGATGATCACCCAACTGAAGGTACTTGGCATAGAAAATAGTCTAAGACTATTCAGCGCTAAGACATGGCTAAAATGTTATGATTATTCACTAGGAAATTAATGTTGAGATTTGAGAATGTCATTGACGTTGTGAGCAACAGGTGAAATTGAGGAGAGGATATTTTCTAGATCATTTTTCATGCTACATCAATGTTGTTATTACTAAAAAATTAATTAAAAAAAAAGTCTCATCAGCTTTCCATATTACTGTAGCTATCAGAAAAGTAACAAATCTGAGGTCAAGTTCAATGAAGAGATTCAATCCATGTATAGAACATCAGAGAGCTTAAAATTGTCATTTCTTTCTCTGAACCCAATCTAATTAAACTGGCCACGTAACTTAAAAAATCATAGTCTTTTTCCCCCTTTCCTTTTGACAAGAGAATAAACTAATATAAATAACAGTTAAAACAAAGCTGGAAGGAGTGAAAAAGCAGACTAACTTGAGATCATGGCTGACGACAAGTACAGTTAAGTCTTTCTTTAGATTCTTTAAGAGCTTCACAATGTCAGCACGAGCCTTCCAATCTACCATATAAGAACTAAGGAGCATTAAAAAAAAAAGCATAAGCCCAAGTTACATCCTACATTTTGAAAAGAAGCATCATATACTAAGACTTATATATCATAAATATAAAATTCACATTAGAATGAAGTAATATGAAATCAATCCTTATAAAAATAATGGAAATTTTCTTTTTAAAAAACCATTGTTTCCGGGAAAATATTGACAAAAATAACTGAAAGGCAAGGGCAAACGAGAACCCAAGCTTAAATAACTTAAAAAAGCTTGGAACATAAGCTTATTCATTCTAGCCTTCTGATTTGATCAATGACATAATCAAGACCTTAAATTCCTGAACTGTCAATGATAAAAGTGCCATCAAGTCAACAGAAATACGAGAATTGAGTGATCCAGAATTTCCTTAGTTGGATGTCCAATTTTATTGAATCGCTAAGTTTGCAAGACACTCAACTTCTTTAGCAGACGGTAAGACTATTTTTATAAGGATTGTTAAATTGATTCATACCAAGACCAGCCAGAGGCTCATCCAGTAATAACAGATCTGGGATTTGCACCTGCAAAAGAAGTTACTTATTCAATGTATATGTTATTCCTGTCTACAGGTACACAAGCATTTTGAAAGGTACAATGTAAAGACTGCATTGACCATAGAGGAATTGTTCTGGACCACAATTAGAATGAACAGTCAATAATGGAGAATTAAAATACAAATATTAATTATGCTTTAACAAATTAATTTAGAATTAGAATCAGATGAAAGAATATTAGCATTAAGCGTTATTTTCCATTCACATCAGCAACAAAAATCATGTTGCTCATTTATTATTGTAGTACCCTTAATTTTTTTATTTCTTTTAAAACTGGGAGTCGGAGCTTTGCTACCCTATCTCTGGGGGCAGGCGTGAGGCCCAAACCCAAGAGACATCAAAGATTTTTTGTATTAAGCTCATTTGAAGGTTCAAACTTGAGACCCTAAGTCGATATGACCCAGAGACCCCAAGCCCTTGCCAACAGAGCCGCCCTTGGGGCGTAGTACCCCCTAATATTGAATAATATTTTTCAACAATAATCAGTTATTTTATTCAGAGAGAAAAAATTAAGCTTTAACAAGAATCCTAACTTTAAAAGTTGTTAGATTAGACCTAGTATAAAAAGTACAGTACCAGTTTATTTTGTTCTCCAATTCATACTCCTGATTAACAAAATGCCCAAAGTTTATTCAAACATGTCTTTCCTTTTTTTTTTCACAAAGTGAAGGTGCTCACATGAGTTCAATTTGTTAATTAGGTTTACCAATTGGATCGCCAAGGCAAGACGACGCTTGTAGCCACCACTTAGAGAGTGAGGATCTTTGTCCAAGGCTATGCCATTTAATCCCACCTACAGTCATCAGCAGAAAGGCGTAAAGCAATCCTATGCTATGATATGAAAATCATGTATTCTGATCACAGAAGAAACGAATGTAAGCAACTGATACTGAAAACAGATTGCAAGTACCCAATTAATTGCTCTTTGGAGTCTCAAAGCAAGTTGCTCCTTCAAATGAAAATCAATCTTTTGCCGTGGCCACCCAAATGTGACTTCATCAAGCACACTGTCCGTGACAAAGTACCTACGTTGAGCAATAGAATATTTTCAGCAACTTATCGTATAATAAACCATAAATGATGAAAAAGTATGAGAATAAGAGCAGAATTGAGCCATTCGATTATTTGGGAAACTAAACATACAGACAACAAACATCACAAACTAAAAAGTTCTAGAATTTGACAATTTCAGAAGTCGGTGTATATATTAACCATTGAACAAGAGTATCCTTGCTGCCACGATCCACTAAGATTCACCCATTCGTCTCCTATTCGTATTAACTTTGTCACTAGAGATAATGCCAATTTTTATGGCCATTAAGTGGGCTAGAATGTCTATTGTCAATTCAAGAGTCTATCTATAAGCTCATTATTCAGTAGCCTTCCTACAAACTTTTATTGATTAATGCAAGTGTTTCCCGTATACTATAAAATTTAAAGCATCCCAGCTTTTGTAATGCTTCTTATAATAATATTTCAATAATACTCTACACTAGTTTCAACACATGGCCAACCAAAATAGACGATACCTCTCTGGAAATTGAAAGACAATACCAACTCTCTCAGGGGATAATGGTTGAGAAGACTGACATGGTTTTCCCTCTTTATCATATTTTTGGGCATAAATGGAACCCGAAGTTGGTTTGCTCAGACCTGCAAGAAGCTAGAGAAGAAAGAGGATACACAGAATGTTGAAGAAGAAAGAATAGCATACCCATAAACAACTAACCAATAATAAGTAAATAAAAGAGACATGGAAAAAGTAAGGGAAGGCCAAATTCACTTAAAAGTCTAAGAAAATAGCTTAACCTGCAATAAAGTAGTTTTTCCACTTCCACTCTGTCCAAAAATTAACCCAAAACTGCATAATCAACAGAAAAGCAAACTAATAAGGGAAATGTAATGAAGTATACGGGTGCATTAATAAACTGAGAGAGAAATATTAGGGAAGAAGTCCAAGTTAGAAATATGTAAATGAAAACCCTTTATTCCTAAACGGCTGGAAGGACAGACAAGTCCTTCATAAGTGCCTTGATAGTAAATAGAGGTTAGCCAAGTTGAATTGCTTCATTTAATTATTAGAGATGAAGAAAATTTTAGGCCTCAGAAAAGTATTTTATTCATTCATCAACTTCTAAAGCCATTTTCCCGTCCATGCTCATTATTAGGGAGTTAAATCAAACCGTCCCTCTCAATCCTAGTCAAGCTTGTCGCTAATAACCAATTCATTAACAAGCAGAAATTCGAACCCTTCGTCGTACTATATTACCAAAATATATACCTTGAAATGAGAGCAGAAAATTGTACCTTTTCTCTCGAAGGGAAAAATTAACTGCATCGAGAAGAGCAAGCTCAGTCCCTGGAGGTCGATAGCTTAAATCCCTAACCTAAAGAGTCACGAATAAACTTAGTAGCGGAATCAAGTTTCACAACAGCATCCACACTCCACCAAATTGCGCTACCACCGGATCCTAGATGTATGCAGCAAAGGATAAAAAGGTTGGGTGCAAGAATCAGAGGTCCTATCAGACATGGCCTATCAAACAAAACTCTACGAAGCGTGAGATTGAAATAATTCATGTTTCAATTTAAAACAGTAGGACCTTCCATTACAAGGTGCAATTTGGCAGAAATTATGACGAAATGAAAAGTGTGAATCTCAATTAGGGCAACTGGAACGGAAAAAGAAAATATGAAATAAACGTGAAATTAAAGGAGGACAGAGATAGCTGTTGAATGGTAATAAATCGAAGCAAGGACAGAGTTGAGAGATTGTAACTCACCTCAAAGCAAGAGTAGTCGGATTTCACTTTGAGAGCTTTGATTCTTCGGAAATTCAAACTACAAATGTGAAAGAAAAGGAGATTAAAGTGAAACAATACGCAAGCAGATGGCACTGAGTAGTGGCTTGAGTTCGAGAAATAAGAGAGAAAAGAAAAGGAACGTAGTGAATTTTTTCTACCTTACAGAGTCGCGTGAAACTACTTCTAATTGAGGGATTGGTTTCCAGCCAGTGAAGAAGTTGGAACCAGAAACGCAGCTCGCCATGGCATCAGTTCAGCGGGGACGACGAAGCAGTCTAATCTGGCTGAATGCGCCCCTTTTAAACATGAAATATATTAAATTTGTCAAATTCACGTTAACATACTTCCATTTGGACAAATATGCCCCCTTCCTTTCTCATTTTCTATACTATTTTTCTTATTAAAATGCAAGTTAAATTACAAAATTTAGTCTTTTAATCTAATCCTTCTCATTTAGATTTAGTTTCAATTTAGCTTCATGATCTCGAAAGACTGAATTTGATTCCTCCATCTTAGTCACACCCCCAAAATTACTTAATGAAATTGGTAAGAGACATCTTTCAAAATTATATTGAAGCTCATTTTTTAAGTATGGTGGATATAGATATTTGAGATTTACAAATATGTATATGTAAATATCTGTGAAATCTATAATTTTTCTTTGTAATATGCTCCATCTTTAAAAAAAAAAAAGTTTGAACTTTTTTACAAAGTTGGATAATCAAAGTCGATATAAAATATCATAAGAATAGTTATATTTTAAAAAAAATATATTTTTTTAGAAATGATATATATTTTATAATGAAGTATATAGTTTGTTCGGCAATGTTCCTAACTTTTTGTTTATGTTTCCCTTTTTAATAAAGAAAGATAAGATTGCATAGTCCTCACACATCTATGAATTAACGAGGAACAAAAGAACAAAAAACTTGTTTTTGTTATTTTTAAAAGTTCTATACAATTTTTAGAATGTTTA